CTCTGCGTCATCGTCCGACAAAGTAAAATTGCCTCGACAACGCTTGCTTTGGTCGCCGGTTGCTTACCGGCCAGCTTTGGCCGCAGCCTCCTCCAGACTCGAGCACCGCCATCAACGTCCTCGATCCCGGCCGACACTGGTCCGGGTGGTGGGACAGCTCCTCCTTGGCCAATCTACTCCGGGGGTGGCGACACAAACACCGTCGCTCTATCCCGACCATTAATGGGAAACAAATGGGAGTGAACACAGTAAGTTTCTACCACAATATGAGACTACGGGTACAAGGCAAGATGAGTTACCTTTGGGGGAGGTCGGGCGAGCTTGAAAGCGTGCTCGATGTCGCTCAATCTGACATAATTTGGATCAGCTAAGTTAAATATCTCTCTAATTCTGGCTCTGACTTCGTTTTTGTTAAGCGCCCCCTGCCTCGTCCTCGTCGGGTCCGCGCTACCTTGATACTCGTAGCCAGGATGTACCCTCCTCTGGTAGGGCTGGATCCACCGGCTGATGAAGCTCCTGACCATGCTCGGCCCGTCCAGTTTTTTTCACGGGATCATCCCAAATATTTCTAGAATTTGTTCCAGGTGCTCGGGCTTCTCTGACCAGCTTGTCCTCTTCTCCGGAATGTACCCCACGTCGCACAGTATGATCGTGTTCGGCTCTTCACGGATGTAGAACCATTTCTTGTACCAGTCGTCAAGCGACGTGTTCCATGGGCAGTGCAGGTACTGGGATTTCATGCCATCACGGAGGTTGAGGTACACACCTCCGGCTATCTTCGAGCCGCCGCTTCCTTTCTTCCGCAGACAGAAAAGATGGCGAAAAAATCGAAATGGGGCTGGAAGCCACCATATGCTTCGCAAAGATGAATGAAAGTGGTGACAAGGAGGATCGAGTTGGGATGCAGATTGCAAATCCCAATCTCATAGTAAAGACAGCCCCTGAAGAAAAGGATGTACCGAAACCCCAAATCCCCGTTTGAAGAAGTCTTCGAACACCACGATCTCACCTGGTTGTGGATCGGGGTACCCCTCGCCCTCCGGCGCACGCCATCCTGTGAGCTCCTTGTTATGGAGTACCCCCATGGTGACGAGGTCTTCAATGGTCTGCTCGTTGCTTCTCGATTTCCACCACTCTTTCGCCATGACTCCTGCTTTCTTCTGCGCTTCACTTTTCGCCATGAATTTGGCCTTGCTGATGAACGAGGATCTGGCGGAGGATTGATTGGTGGTGATTTCGGAGGTATTAGGGTTGGCAAGAGGAAGAAGATGGTTGTGGCTGTGAATGGCAATGGGGTTCAGTAAAAAATAACTTATCTATCCTATACTGTATTTAACCCAAGAGTTATGCCGTTTCGTCTGCCCGAGATTCTTGGGAGACGTGCGCACGCGCCGCAGACGGTTGTTTTCACATCCTCAAGATCTATGCCAATATATGCGCCTCTTCGTTGCCAGTGTGAGAGGGCCCACACTGACGCACCTATTTACAGGTGCCACACAACTGTTTGCTTGAAAAGACAAGAAGGCGGTATGACGTGCTATACCCGTCTACTTTTTTGACCAGATATGTCAGATTGGACTTGACAGGGCAAGTAATTAAGTAAATACAAAAGATAATAGTACAAGTGGCATATGGTTTTTTGCCGCACTTCTCGTGCTCAGGGACTGTCTAGACCACCGTAGTGCTCGGGGACTGTCCAGACCACCATCGTGCACGGGGACTGTCCAGACCACCGTCGTGCTCGGGGACTGTCCAGACCACTGTCGTGCTCAGGGATTATCCAGACCACCATCGTGCACAGGGACTGTCCAGACCACTATCATGCTCAGGGACTGTTCCGATCACTCTCATGCTCGGGGACTGTCCCGACCACTCTCCGAACAGTGCTCGGAGACAGCTCTCCTCGGCTACATGTGAGTTGTACTCACATACAGTTGAGAGGCGTTTATTTAGACCTTGCTACAAGGCTGCTACCTTGCCTTACAGCAAGCTCGGGGACTACATCGGTACGATGCACCTGCCGGTGCATCTCGTATTGCTTGTACGATGATTGGATTCTCAACTTTAGTGGGAATTCTTTTTAGACCCTGGCACCACGTGCCTGCGTCACCTACTACCAAGCTCGGGGACTAAGTGGGCACACTTCACCTTACGGTGAATGTGCTTATTTTATCGACCCCTACGCTCTGATTGTTGGCCAGAATTACTATTGTCCAAGGATCACTTATATTTCTTTTTAGAAATACAAGTGGGCACACTTGATAAGGAAAGAATTTTTTTTCTTTTTTCTTTAGAGCACCATGCATTCTTCGGACAACCGGAATCTTCGGCTATAATCGTGGTCTACTACTTTCTGTTCTGACCAGAATACTGGCACATTCGCTTGGTTAATGTTTCAACCAGTTGGAGATGACATGAAGACGGATCGCATTAGCCAAAGGAGATCGAACGGCGTGTCGCAGCATAATACATGGTGCTCGGGGACTAGCTGTGGGGGTATTAACCCCTATACCCTTATGGTTAGGCTTGGGCCGGCCCGGACCAGGGGGTCTGGCCCACTAGAAGACGACGCGCGGCTCAGCCAATTTGTTCGGAGTCCCGCGCAAGGAATCGAGGCAGATTTGGAGATCAAGCAAGATCTTGGTCGGTTAGAATAGGAATCCTTATTCGGCCACCTATGACAATTGTAACTGGTTAGGATTAGTTTCCAGATCTGTAACCCTGCCCCCCAGACTATATAAGGCGGGCAGGGGACCCCTCTAAAAAACATCTCTCATTGACATACAACAATACAATCAGGCGCAGGACGTAGGTATTACGCCATCCTGGCGGCCGAACCTGGATAAAATCTCGTGTCTGTCTTGCGTCACCATCTTGTTTGTAGCTTGCGCATCTGTCTGCCGATAATCTACTACCTTGGGCATACCCCTAGGTAGACTGCCGACCATATTTCGTCGACACCAAGCAAGAACAACTAAATAAAAAATCAACATCTGTCTGAAGCCTTTGGTTTCTAGAGTGTCTTCGCACCTGACACACTAGGGCTAAAGAAGAGTGCCTCATAGGCCCATGCTAAGGAGTAGCGTGACCATCTCTAGATGAAGATATCATATTTAGTTGTGTTAGGGCAACTTCACAGAGACGATGTCATAGCTATAGGTGTTGTAACATTCCCTGAACTAATAGCGAGCCACAAATGTCCCCCACCCCTCGCGTCCTCTTAAAGAGGACTTGACACACACTATGTGGTTCCACTGAATTGAGACATATAGTGGGAATATGCTAGACACTAACATCTATTGATGACTTTAAATTGGACAACCATAATGCACACACAAATAGTGCCGTCACACAAAAGTCCTCCAAAATGACGTCAATAATAGAACACGACTATAGTCACCTAGATAACTTGTCTAGAGCAGAGCCAGGTTTTCGGCTGGATATCCGATGGTTGAGTAGAATGAGATGTAGTGATGCTCCCTACAACAACGCCCAAAGACGTTGTCACCGTCGAGACTGACATACTCCTTCCGTTTTAAATTATAAGTCGCTTTGACTTTTTTGGTTTATCCATTTTACTATGTAGTACCTCCATCCCAGAAAGAATGTAAATCTCGCTTTTCGAAGTAAGATTAGTGTAGGTGTAAAATTACGTATTTACCCCTCCACCATCATTCTCTCCATAGGTAGAAACTGAAAAGTAATCATTGTAATCTAGAATGTTCTTCTCATGGACATTATAATAGGTGGGTCACATTAGAAAAGTTGATCTCATGTCTATAATTCCATTCTTTGTTAGAAGATTTGAAATGCAGAATTACTTTTTTTTTTTGACAGAGGGAGTATCTAGATATAATATTATATCTATGTACATAGCAAAATAGATGTAAAAAAATTAAAACGACTTGTAATTCACGATGGAGGGAGTAGAAACTAGCAAGTTCTCGTCAGCGCACACCAACCTACCGTAACAAATCTCATAGAGGCGACGAAGCGTGTCCCATATCTCGCCATCCCTACACTTGGGGACATAGCACCCAAAGCTTGAAGCACGAAGGGTGTCCTATGCATAGCACTCCTGAATGCAAAGTCGCGCGCCTGTTGTTGTACATGTTATGCGCGTTCGGGGCACGACTCACGAGACTACACCCGTGACAAAAGACAACCATGATATGATACATATATATACACAGTCCCTATTCGGAAGGAGCACGCGGGAGAAGGTGCCGTGCCGGCAAGCACCCCAGCAACAAAGCTAACCGCGCCACCGCGGCCATGACCGACATGGTGTAGTGAGGAGGGAAGTACCGCCACCGAACTGACCATCAACAACCGCACCGTTCACGGCGAAGCGCCTGTGCGGATTTGGTCGAATACTATACCGATTTTGTCACTGGAGCAAGAGGATCGCTCGGCTCTACCGTGTTGGATTTCCGACAGCATACTCAGGCGATGGCGAGCCGTACCGTAGGTTAGGCCTCGCTCGCCTGCACTTGTTCATGGATCGTCGCCGCTGGGCAGAGCACGGCAGGGCAGCAGTCAAGCGGGACAGAGAGAAACAGAAACAGAAACAGAGTAGATCATGATCATGATTTGTGCTAGCGACATTCAGGCATCGTCATTGCTGGGGCTTTGGCTTGAGGCCCAGCGGTAGTAACATCATCATCAACACTGCCCCATAGCACGGAATTGTCGAAAGCACCAAAAACATTCAGAGCACCCGTGCGATTCTGAACAAAAAAAACACCAATCCACCTCCTGAATCATTACACACACTACCTATCTTATTGATTGCAGTGCAGCAACCAACAGTCAGGCTGACCTACTAACCCTGATCGACCTCAGCAACTCACCGGGCATGGCGAGAACGAGAAGGCTTCCCATGCCATCGGCAATGGCGCCCGGCCCCAACCTGGAACCACTCGACACGTGGCTGCACTACAACTTGAACTCCTGTAGTCCTGTCTACTGCCGCTACGGCAACACAAACCACACGGCGTTCACCACGACCACATCACCGGGCTCGCCTGCGCCACCACCGGCGCTGCCCAGCAGTGCTGCGGCCACCGGTACACCAACCCCTCCCCAGCAACGGCGCCGTACGCCTGGCCCTGGCCGGTCCAGGTCCAGGGCCGACTTTCCTGCCCCACGTCTCCCTCGACGTCCATCGCCGCCGCGCCGTCCGACGCCTCCTCGGTGGCCACCTCCTCCTCCGCCGCCGGCGTCGGCGCCACCCACGGCACGACGGCCAGGGCGAGGTCGGGCTCGCAGCCCCGTTCCAAGGCAGCGCCGGCGAGCAGCTCCCGCACCGTCCTGCTGTCCGCCTCCCGGAGCATGGCGCGGATCCAGTCCGCGCGGAGGCGCGGGGCGTCGATCCGCCTGCTGCTGCTGCTGCTGCCGACTCCGTCACCGTACACCACCACCGCCCTCTCGTCGTCGTTATCAACGGCGCCAGGCGAAGGAGACGGCGCCGCCGCCGCCGCGTCGCCCTCGCCCATCGTGACGTCGTCCTCCCACGCCGGCGTCGGGGCGCCGCCCACCGCGGCCTGGTCGTCGCCGTCGCGGGGGCCGCCGGGACACGCGAGGCGCCGCATCTTGGTGGCGCGGCAGGAGGGCGAGAACCCGGAGGAGCGGTCGTCGGCGCCGGCGCTGGCGTCGTCGAAGAGGCCCGGCTCGTGGGCGCCCTTCCGCTTCAGCGACAGGCCATGGAACTCCTCCGTGAGCACCACCATCGCCGCCTCCGCCGGGGTCACACTCTCACAGCTGCCTCGGTCCGTCGTCGTTGGCAGGGCCCCTCCTCTGCTCTCCGATTGCTTCTTCGCTTCTCGTGGTTTCTGGCGTGCTCCGGATCGCTGTGGTGGGCGCGCAATGTACGGCGGGAGGAGATATATATGAGCTCCGGTCTGGGGAGCTGGGTGGACAAATGGAGAGGAGCACCAAGTGTGGAGAAGCTTCGATTGGAGCTCTGGAAGGGTCTCGAAGCCCATTTTTCGCGGCAAGGACACCGGACAGCGACAGCGTGTCCACTAGTCCACTCTCTCCCCTCAAAGTAGTACGTAAATACCCCTCACGTGGACCACCATGGCTGTACAGCAATGGGCTAGTACCGTCATTGTTCCTTTAACAGGCTCTCTCCCTCGAGGACCGATGCTTCGTCTACGAGACGCATCTAGTGGGCCACAGAAGGTAAGAAAGCAGCCCATGATGTGTCCATGCGAAGGAATGTGGCCGGCCTATTAGTCTAGCGAGCGTGGGCCGAATGGAAAGGTCCCGTGTGGGCAGCAGGAGTGCAGGACGAGTCGTTGCGTAATTGCGTTGCGGCGCTGGTGTTGCGGGGACAATAGCACCACACTGCTAGCGCAAGGACGAGGCGGAGGAGAGGCGGTCTACATAACCAGGCGAGGTGTAGTGGTTTAAAATACGCAGCTGCGTGGTGAGCACAAAGCGAACTATTCTTTCGCCTTTTACTAAAGAATACCGTGCGCACGCCACAATAAGCAGCATACCCTAATTTTTGGAGGGTGCCACCTCTTTTGGGGAGGTGCCCAACAAATTAATAAAATTTTTTATTTATTTTTTATTTTTTAGTTTAATTTAATTTCTATTTAATATAATATAAATTTGTAATAAGATTTTAATTTTAATTGATCTAATGTAACTTTTAGTTAAACTTTTTTTTATAGTACTTTGAATATATAAATTCTCAGTTATTAAAACTTTTATTTTGTTTCAATTTAGTTTTAGTTACTATAAATTTAAATTTGAATTTCAAAATTTAATACTATTAGTATAAATAATCTGTTTTTCCAATAAGGTTTCAAACTACTCTTAGTATATTATTATTATTTTAACCTACTGTAATTTACAAACTGGATTCCAGAATTTGGCAATTTGGCACTATGCAAAAAGAAGATTTTCTGTCACATTAAATTTGCGGTATATGCATAGAGTACTAAATGTTAAAACTAATTATACAGTTTAGTTGTACTTTACGAGACGAACGTTTTGAGTCTAATTAGTCAATGGACAATTATTACTAAATAGAAACCAACGCTACAGTAGCTGCAGTGTATGTCGCATTTTGGCGGCGCCGATTCAGCGGGTGAACTAAACAGGCCCCTGTTAGTTTTGGATGAAGACATGCATAATGTGTGACGTTGCGCTCACTGCTCAATAAATGATACTCTTATTAAGAAATGTTGAAGCAACAACTCACAGATTAACAGGATGGACTGAAAACACTGAACAGAAGTCTGGCACTCCTACTAGTTCATACTACATCGGACTGAAATACTGAACATTAGCATGGTTCATTCATACATAGACCGTGTGCAGGTTAAACAACGCTACTTACAAATCAGGCAGAACAACACGCACATTGGGGGTAGTACTCTCTGCAAAAACTGAGAGCAAGTACCAGTGTGCCACCAGTCACTCTACGGCTGGGCCGACGGGGGGAGGCCGAAGAAGTCGAGCGTCTCCGGCGTGAGGTCGTCGAAGCGAACGCCCTGGTGCATCGCCGACCCGAAGTGCACGTACTCCTCCTCGTCCAGGCCAAAGAACGGGGTCGGCGGCACCACCGCCAGCGGCTCCGGGCAGAAGGCATCGTCGTCGTCGGGGTCGACGAACACCAGTGGGTCGACGCCGGAGGCCGGGCTCTTGGCGTCGCCATCACCGTCGCCGAACGAGAGCACACGAGTGGCCGCCGTCGGGGTGGCACCGGAAGAACCGAACTCTGATGCGCTGTCGTAGTGCGTGGGGAGCTCGATGGCGAGAGCCACCGCTGTGCGTGGAGGTGGCTCCTGGTCGTCCTCCCGCCTGCTGCTGCTCTGGCCGCCGGTGTGGAGCAGCGGCTTCGTCTCCTCGAAGGGGATCATGTCCTGGCACGGGATCTGACAGAGAAGCTGCAACTGCAACGCGCAAGGTTTCAGACTTTCAGTTGTCAGATAGATGTGTCATGGTGAGACTTGAGAAACATAAACACAACGTTTTTCAGAAATGGTACAGTACTAGATGCTGATAAAAGAAAACATGGACAAAAACATTTTTCAGAAAATCATACTAGAATAAATTTGTTTGAAAGAGTAGCAGTTCAGAAAAAGCCAATGGTTGCTTCAGAAATGCATTGCTGCAACACCAATCAGATACTGCAGTGTATTTCTGCAACTCCACTTCAGAACAATCAGATTGTTTCCAGAGACAAAGGAAACATGCAACGCGCAAAGGTTTCAGACTTTCAGTTGTCAGATGTGTCATGGTCAAGACCTGAGAGTTGAGAAACATGAACACAACATTTTTCAGAAAAAAATGATGCTACATGCTGATCAAAGGAAACACGAACATAACATTTTTTTTCAGAAATGGTACAGTACTAGATGCTGATAAAAGAAAATAAACATTTTTTCAGAAAATCGTACTAGAATAAATTTGTGTGAAAGCCAACTGCTTGTCGGCTACAGTAGTTCTAGTTCAGAAGAAGCCATTTGTTTCAGAAATGCAATGCTGCAAATCAATCAGACACGTACAAGTCTGCTACTCCACTTCAGAATAATCAGAATTCAGAATTCAGAGAGACAAACAGATAATGCAGTGCAGGGAGTAGTCAGTAGTCACAGTCACCTTGTGAGAGGGCGAGGCACGGGCTTGCGAGGACGAAGCACCGCCGCAGATCTGCCTGCCGCCGCCGCCGCCGGGCCTCCGGCGGGGCGCCGGCGCGCGCAGGAGCCTGGCCAGCCGCTTCTGCCGCGTGCTCCAGAAGTTCTTGACGTCGTTGTCCGTGCGGCCAGACAGGTACGTCGCGATCCTGGCCCACTTGTTGCCGAACTGCGCCTGCAGGTCGATCACCACGCGCTCTTCCTCCGCCGAGAACTTGCAGCCCCTTCACACAGGAAACGGCATTAATTCTTCATCAGTGTTGGGTATCTGAACAGCTAGCAGTTCTTCACCGTTCAGCGTCGTGTATGTGCCATGATAAATGAACAGCAGTTTACTGACACCATCCAAGAAATGGTGGCAAGATGTTCAGAAACAGTTGATGCACAACATACACAGAACCGTCAACAATGGAAATGCACGAGTTCGGAGACAGAAGAAGAACGAAGAACAGCGGCGTAACCAACATGGTTCTCGGGGTGGAAAGAAAAGCGAAGAAGGAAGCAGGGTGAGCGTGCATTACTTCTTGATGTCCGGGCGGAGCTTGTTGACCCAGCGGAGGCGGCAGGACTTGCCGGTGCGCGGGAGGAGGCCTTTGGATCGAATGGAGCTCCACTCCCGGGGCCCGTTCTGGCGGACGTGCCGCCGCAGCACCTCGTCCTCCTCCGCCGTCCACGGGCCCTTCCTCACCCACGCCGATAACTCACGACCACCGCCGCCGGGCTTCATCGTCCTCGCTCGCTCGCCGCCGCCGGCCACCACGACGACCATGCCAGCGGGGGCTCGATCTCTCTCCTGGTCTCCCTGCCTTGCCCTTGCCCGCCGGTTCCCTTTCTCTCCCGCGACGCGCCCACGCTCCGACAATATAGGGAGTAGTGGGAAATGATCTCGTGTAGGACAGTAGCAGTACGTGGCTTCGTGGGCCCGGAGGTCGCCGGTCTTCATATCAGCCGTCAGATTTCGATCAGAGCGTCGCTTTGAACTCGCGAATGCCGCCGGTTCCCCAGGACACTGTAACCGCTCCTAGTTCTAGTCGTAGCCCGGTCAGGCGGTCACGCCCTATTTTCAAACGCCAATACGCAATCCAGTTCGAAGAAATTCAGGGGAAAATTTTCCTTACAGATTGGAAGGACAGTATTGTTTTATAGAATTTCCGTAAAACTGATTTTAAATAAAAATTCCATTATACACCAAACCGTGTCACGCCAATGTCGTACAGTAACACCAGCCAGCACCGGTGCAATTAAAAAAACGTTACGCGTCATTGGTAGGAGTAAACTACTACTCGTGGTCGCAGCGGACGAGGCGGCCGCGTTTGCTGCAGAGGCCCTGCTCGCCGGCGGTGGCCTGCACGACCTTGCCGTAGCTGTACCGCAGCGGCATCCTTCCCAGCAGGCGGTGGAACTCGGTGATGCAGCGCCCTCTCTTCTCCCAGTGGCCCAGCCCGCCCGTGGCGCTGAGCCCCACGTCCCTGACCCCGCCTCGAGGCCCCTCGCCGGCGCCGGCGTCGTTCCTGGGGTCGCCCCAGTCCCTGACGCCGCCGGCCTCCACGAGCACGGGCCCGGCGCCGGTCGCCTCGGCGGCGACGAAGTTCATGAGGATGTCCTCGCAGTTGCGCTCACGGTCCACCACGGCGCGCGCGGGCGCCAGCTCCGGCGAGCAGGAGTACGCGCGCAGGAGGTCGGACCCGAGGAGCATCAGCTTGGTCAGCACCATGGAGTACCGCCCCAGCTGCGCCGCCGTGTACGCCCACCTCCCGCGGGCCAGGTCCAGGTGGTGCGACCGCGGGAAGAAGCCGACCAGGGGCCCCGGCCGCTGGTGCTGGTGCTGGTGCTGGTGCTGCTGCCAGGTGGCGAAGGCGAAGGACAGCGCCGCCGCGTCGGGGAGCACGTCGTCGTCGCCCACGGCCACGGCCGCGGTGCGCACGTCGGAGGGCCGCGGGAGGAAGCGCGAGTTGAGGGACGCCGAGGCGGCGCGGCGGACTGCGACGCGGGGCGGGAACCCGATCCCGCCGCGGCCGCGGAGGAGGCGGCGGTCCGGCGTGGAGGGGTTGCACCAGAGCACGACCACGGCCAGGACCAGCGGGTGTGCGGCGTAGGCACCCGCGATGGCGCGGAGCAGCGGGAGGCGACGCTCCGAGTAGCCCGCGAGGATCACCGTGAGGCGGTCCGCACGGAGCGGGGCCGCGTCCGTGCGGTTCGCCGCGGCGCAGGCGGCATACCTCTCGTCCTCGCTGCTGGCGGCGGCGGCTACGCAGGCAAGCTCCACGACGACTACGAGGAGGAGCTGGTACGAGCGCGGCGGCATGGACGTTGGACGGCGACGCGGCGGCGAGGAGATCCGCTGGAAGCTTGGGCCTGTAGCGTTGACTCTCCAAGTGCGTGTGCGTCGCAGGACAAGTCCGAGAGGGGGAGAAGGCAGTGGGGCTGCTTTGCTGTTATATATAGGCTGAAAATAGAGAAGAAGGGGGAGAAAAGGTTTTCTTTTTAAACAAAGCTCAAAGAAGTTTTTTCAAAAAGAACTTTTAAACAAATTATTAAGTTTGAAACCTTCTCAAACTTGAATTTGAAATAGTACACTTTCAAAACTATTTAAATTTTTGACCCCTTCCAAACTTATTTTGAAAACCCTTTTAAAGTATATTTTGAAAAATCATTTAAAACAACTCTTCTCAAATCTCTTAAAATTTTATTTTTAGATGGTTATTTCGAAACTATTCTGAAGCCAAATTTTAGAGCCAAAACTACTATTTTGGCCCCTTTGTTTTTTATACCAAAATTTTCAAATATAGTTTGGAATTTATTCTTGAGACATAAGGTTAACTTTTGCAAACTCATTAGAAATTATTACAAACATGATGCTCAAAATAGATTTTGCAAACTGAAAGAAGACTTTATTTTAAGAAAGGTTTTGGAACTTTATTCTTTTGAAAGAAACCGATTCATGGCTTCATTGATTTCTGTAATTTGTTTTTTCACATAATAAGAATTATGTAACCAACATGAATGCAATGAAAACACTTTCATGAATTATAATTAATTGATTTGAAAATAGTATATTTTACTTTACTAAAAGTTCAAATTAGTTCTAATTGTTGGCAAAATTTAGAAAATTGTTAGTTTAATTAAATTCTAGAAAAATCTTTAAAAAAGATTACCGCCTCATAAAAGTATTTTAAAACCTTGTGCACGTATAAACACTAGGTGAAAACTTGTATGAATGCAACAAACCCATCATATTGAATTGTTAAAGTCTTATCAAGTTGTATTTCCCTCTAAATTGGCAATAGATTAAATAAATCTTGGATTTTTTTTATAAAATATTAAAATCGTTCATTTTTTATATTTGCCATTCACAATCCAAAATGGAAACTTTGGAGTGTGACAATTAGCCTTGGACGTTCTTTATTCGTTGCTAGGTCACTTCACATTTCACGTGAAAATCGATAAGGAATATTTCTGAGTGAAAGCTGCAGAAGGTGGGATCTAAGAACATCCGTAGTGGTGAGGCCTGTTTAGATTCAAGTTTTTCAGGAGAGATCAAATCTTTGCCATACGACGCAATCGAATGTATCCAAAAAATAACTAATTACGTCTGTTTGATTGTAAATTACGCGACAAATCTTTTAAACCTAGTTAGGCCCCTCTGACGGGACAATAATTGCAAATACAGAGGAAAGTACACAGCCTCTCCTTGGCCCTTCGCCGTACTTATCTAAAAAGGCATTTTTTATTGCTGGGAGAGTGCTGACCTACACAATGGCCTTTGTTTGTCATTGTCTTAAATTTGGTTTGTTTAACTTATTTTTTCAATCGAAACAGTGTTTTTCTCTCACAATAATTCAACCGGAACAATATTTTTTTAGTCAGTTTCAGCCAAAGTTTAAACCAACGAACGGGGCCAATGAATCGATGTATCAAAAAAAATCGATTCATTGTCTGTTTCAAGAGAGATCGACAAAAGCATATTTTATAGGGTTTAACCAAACAACGGGACAGCAGCGAGAGGAGACAGCCTCTCCTTGGCCCTTCGCCGTATGAAAAAAAATCATTTTTTATTGCTGATGGGCGCTGATGAACTGATGCAAAAGTTTGCATCGACTCTTCTCTCTCTCTCCTTCATGGGTCGATGTGCTCTAGTCGATGAACCGACTCATTTTGGTGACACGTAGGACGTTGCATCGGTTTATTTTCGCCACTGGAGAAGCCCTAACAGGATCCCATGCAATCATGTTGTGGCATTTCTCACGCATGAGAGGACACCAGCGGAGGTACTTCCAGCACGCCTAATCTACTGAAACCTACAACACGATGTATATAAAATTAAATATAATGCCATGCAGAGACAAGTGCAAATGAGAGAAGTGCAAAGGTCCTAAAGTTCTGCCACCAGCAACACACCCAAAAAATTCTATTGAGACGTGACTAGAAAACTCTAATAAAATAAAAGATTTATTATTTTTTAAAATTTCCAACCTTTGTTTTTATTATTTAAATTTAGAGAGTGAAAAAACAAATGTTTTTTTATAAATTCTTATAATTTAAATTATATGTTGCACCTCATGCTGTTGCATAGAGTTTTTTTAAATAATCTTAAATGTTTTCATCTATGCTGGGGTTGACACAAATCATATCTTCCAAATCTCTAAAACCCTAAATCTGGATTGGATTTTCAAAACCCTTTGGAAAGCGCTAGACCAAATCTTTTTGGGCTAAAACCCTAGTGTACCAACCATCATCTCTCTTCTCTTCACACAATTATTCCATTATCATCATCGGTCAATTAAGCCATATCAATATCACTCCACTAGCTCAAGTTAATTTAGTTCGGGATGTGCTCATCTTGACTCCATCTCTCTTGTCTTTCTTTTCAAGCCATCATCAGTAATTCTTCGAGCCAAAGTTCTAACATAAACCCTTGTCGATCTTGGTCCAACTCATCTTATCTTTCTCTCTTTTCTTCAGGCTCAAATTCATTCTTGACTCGAGCCGACCTAAGGTTACAACACATTCTCAAATTCTACACATCATGCATGTATATTCGTTAAGTTAGTTTTTGTGTATTAGCAATTTTAGAAGTGAGTAATTTAGAAGTATATGTAGAATTCAATGATATTTTTTTTATAACAAAGAGGTCGGTAATACATATTTTTGGTTTTGTTTATGTTATTATTAACGGAGATGGGCTATTTATATGCAAATTTAGTGGGTTACTTTAGACCACACTTTTTTTATAATAGCATAGATAGGTAATTTACATAGAAATTAATGGGTCCTTTTAGGTTACTTTTACTAATGAAAGAGATGGTCCAATCTATAGGAAAATTTGTTGTTGATTATTTTATAGTAAAATAGGTGGGTAATTTATATAAAAATTAGGGTTTAATTTAGATTTTTATTGTGGTAGAGGTGTATAATTTAGATAAAATTTAGGGGGCCATTTTCACAGTGGCAGATGTAATTATTCTTTTATATATATAGAACATATACAATGTTCTTTCTTAAACTCACTCTCTAAATTGTCACTTGGAAAATTCTTTGAATAAAAATCGCTCTCTATATATTTTCACCCTTCAACAACTTCTCTATATCTTGTCCAAATTTTATAGAGCCAGCCCCGCATTCCATCTTTGGCTAGCAAGAAATCAAAAATAGAGGATGCCAATATTTTGAGATCTATTTTTGGAAGTTAACAGCTACTTCTGGAAAAACCAGCCTAGGTTTGTTTCCCAAACTGGCTCAGGTCGGTTTTTTCTAAATAGGTGTATATAACAACTTTTTTTTTGTGGGAGGACTATTTATACACCCTCCCATGGTCCTTGGAGGGCTTTATATATATATATATATATATATATATATATATATATATATATATATATATATATATATATATATATAGATATAGATAGATATCCCATATATATATATATATATATTTATATATATTGATAGACCATGAATGAGCCTTTGTGAGCTTGTGAGAGAATAGAGAGAGAGAGAGAGAGATCCCAATTCACCATTTGTGGGATTTGAATGAAATTTATGATATCCATTGAATTGGAGACCATGAATGAGCCTTTGTGAGCTTGTGTGAGTGCCACAGGAAGTTTGTGCACACTGCAATCTTTCCTTGGAAGGGAAAAGAGATCAACCAGTGGAGCATGGGAAGTCGTTGAAAGAGACCTAGTTAGAGCTTGACCTTGGGTGGTCACTCATAGCTTCCACAACAGAGATGTTGGATCCAAGTGAAGATCCAAACTCTAGGAAATATGCCGTTATGTCTCCTTGTTTGGTTTGCCACAAATTCATATTTACATTACATTTAATTAATATATTTGAGCTTCCACTTGTGTCTACTCGGTTGTGTGTTGGGTGTAGGAGCACTTTGAATAAGTTGAAAAACATCCACAGAGACCACACAATACCTTGGTTTGTACAGGAAGAGGAGTGGATCAAAAACAATTTTTTTGTGCAGGTTCTGCAAAAACTAGCCCATGTTGGTTTTGTCTGGATGTTCAGACTAGTCTGTAAAAACCAACCTAGGCCGGTTTAGCAAATCAGCCTAAACCGGTTTTGATAGACTTTGCTCAATTTGTTATTTTAATTGCTAACTTCGAGAAAGTTTGTAGGCATATTCACCCCCTCTAGGCATGGACTCGGTCATCTATTGCTTTCTTCTCTCCCCCTTTCTTTAATTGACTATCCATGTTGATTGAGGCCAATTCATGCTTGATAATCTTCTAGAATATTTTATTGGTGTTAAAAGGACACCAAATTTGTTATATATCATGGTAAACATAGGAAATTTCTTGTACAATATATTTTTAAATACTACAAAATATAGTACAAGGATGGAGAAGAGTGTAGAATGCATGACACAACAAGGGATATGGAGTTCTACAAATAGGGGTGCTACCCTCGCCTTTGTTATATCATGGCCTAGATTCTCTTGTTGTGAGCCACAATTAAGTAGCACAACAAGAATGACATGATATGTCTTAGGGTCCCAGTGTCATCATGTTAAAGTAGCAACAATAATAAGTATAAATCTCTTATAAATCATGTTTGTAGTGAATAAAGAGTGGAGTTCTCTTATGGAGGGTAGGTCTCTCATTTTAGTACTAGGTGAAAATCATTGATATAACAAGCTAATTAAAATGTAGAAAACACAAGTAACATCCATTTGTTAGAGAAAAAAAATATTTTTATAAAGAATCTGTCTAGCTAGCAACCGGTTGTTTTAACCCCTCCCAACAACCAGATTTTTTTCATGCACTTACACTGTCTTATAGTTATATTTACACCGCCTTATTACTGTATTTACAATAATTTCTTCAGTGTAATTTATTGGATAAAGTGATGTAATTTGAAAATAACATAAATATATGCCAATTTTTTTTCAAAAAAGAATTTAAATTATTTCTATGGATTCCAGACATCAGGAAAATATATGTCAAATTCTTCATAATTTCTTCACAAATTTCAAAAGAAAAAAAATCTTCAAAAATCTTCGCTGTGGGCCGTTTGGGCCACGTGATCTCTAGTGAAGCAGCCTGGTCCTCCACGTGGGCGCTGAAGTCCCAAAAGCGCGTCCAATGCCCCGGCCGGCGCCGACTGCAGCACGGACTGCATCCGTCGTTGGAGCCTTGGCGGATCTGTGCAGCATCAGCATGTCAGCCGTCCGTCAGCATCCAACGTCCAAGAATCCGCATGTTTTTAAGCTCCAAAACATGCGGTTGCCATTTAGCAAATCTGTTTATAAATCATAATCATGTATAAAGAGAAGATATATGATTAAAAACACTTCGCATTTTAACTAGCAAGGTCACAAACAACAATGAGACCATAGCCACACACAGCCGCATGCTCGCATTTGTTCTACCAAGATGATTTCGAGGCGAGAGTCGAAGGACAGATTCCTCGATCTAATCCTAACCTCATGGTAGTTTAGTAGCAGCTTGTACCGCTCAGTGCTCTGGCGTCAGCATGGGTGGCGAACACCGATGAACAGGAGTGCTTCCTGGACTGACACTGGGCATCCGCGAGGCACCGCCAGGGCTGGTGTGGTCACCTGACATCTTGTAGTGATAGAATGATGTAACTACTTTTGAGTTGTACATTGATCACTTGTCTTTTATATGCAAAATTAATGGATATGAATGAACTACTAGTAAGGCATAGTTCATCTTTTAACCCACGCCATGCTTTTTGCAACTTTACAAATACCTATTAATTGTCCTTTGCATCCACCAAATATTAATGTTGGAATAAGTCCTCTAAGTACAATCGTACTAGCGATACTGCGGTTAAGCTTTTATAGGTGCTGTAGACTTGGTGATCACCCAAGCCAAGCTAGGGTGAAGTCGATGGCTTAGTAGAAGATGGGATTTTTGAACTATGTGATTCTTGATGGTTGGTTCATAGCATGTAACCATACAACTTGATCCTGAGATACAACCAGCCGAGTGGAGGTTGTGAATGGCGACTCCAGGGACCTTCCTGCGACCCCTAGGTTAGTGCTGCGTTGGTCGGATGGACGACGTGTGGTACTAGCTCGGCCGATCGGGGCACCCCGTGGCGGCTGACAGCCTTGGTGCTGGAGGGTGCCACGGTGGTCCTGATCCCGGAGGAGGCTGTGTCACTTGCGGGGCGAACACCATTGATGTGGTATATGCAGCGACCACCATTCGGCGGCGGTAGAAACTAGAAATGCATCTGTTGAGAAGCATGTTTATTTGTTTAGTAGCCACTTCAGTCTGAGATTATCTTTTTCCTTGACCCATGCTTCAATTTAAGACCTTGCAAGTGTTTTTGTAGACTTGTATTAATATGACAACCTTCCTTCAGCATAGCCCAGCTATTAAATGATAATGCCTGAGATGCACGTTCACTTCTAGCCAAATCAACAAAGTTCTGCATGGTACAATCGAATGTGCTTACACTTACTTACCCATTTTATACCATGAAAGAAATATGAGTAAATTATCATTTCTCACCACACTAGCAACAAGTGTTGTTGACTTGTCGTTACCCAAGAACTCACTAGCAGAACTTTTTTTTTTGTGTGAAGTCGGGAGGGGAGGCCCCTACCTAATTTGTATTAAAAATTAAAATTGCAAACTGTACATATGCAGGTTCAAAGGCGCCATGAGGCTCACAGAAGCGACAAGAGAAAATACAAGAGAAAGAAGCAACAGAAACGCAGAAGAAAAAGCTACAAAGAACAAGAGAGAGAAAATACAGAAAAAGAACATAACTGAACAACATCCTGAGAATCCTAAAGTTCTTTTTTTTTCGAAAGATCTATTACCGGCTTTCATTGATAAGGGAAGAGCACAATATTTACAAGGTTTGGCACAAGGATCGCCCATTTTGCATGGCTTTCACATCCTAGTGAGTGCCATGCCACCCTTACGTTTTAGAGTTCTATCTTACGTAGGATTTACAACATCTACAAGAGGCTGCTCTAGTGGAGGCAGCACTCCTTCTAGCCCTCTATTTCTAGCCCGTATCCACGTCCTTGCTTCCTCCTGTATTGCTCTGAAGATCTGCTCCGGCGTTCTCGAGGATCTGTGAAAAAACCGATTGTTCCTCTCCCTCCATAGTTCCCAGGTTGTCAGCATGATCATCGAGCGTACCCCGTCTCTTGCATCTCTTGTCCCACTGTTGCCCATGTCAGTGTACCATTGCCCCAGATCTTCAGTCGGCGTCCACTATGTCGGCCTTAGAGCAGCCGCCGAAATCCAAGAGCCCACCTTATCCCAGACATTCCTCGAGTAGCCGCATTCCTAAAAAAGATGTGAGACCGTTTCCAGGTTCCTTACACAGAGTTGACAGAAGTAGTCATTTGGCCATTGCCTAAGCATTAGCCTTGCAGCTGTCCAAATGCGGTTCTGCAGCATCAACCAAGTGAAGAAGCGGCATTTTGGCGGCCCTTTTGTTTTCCATGTGATTTCAGCTGTCATTGATGAGGCCATTCCAAGGAATTGTATTTTATATGCCGATCTTGCCGTGTATTGGCCATCAGCTGTGTGGAGCCAGGTGATCTTATCCTCATGTGTTGGCTGGACAGTGATTTCCTGTAAGCAAGTCCACAATGATATAAATTCCTCAACCACCTGCTCCGTCATGCTATAATCGACGTCTCTGATCCACTTATTGTCAGCCAGGGCACCACTAACTGTTCTGTTCTTCCTCTTGCTATGTTTGAACAAGGCTGGGTATAAGGTTGCAGGTGCTTGACCATCTAGCCAGCGAGAGGACCAGAACCTAGCCTTGTTCCCATTTCCTAAGACTACACTTGTAGCAGCATTGAAGAGTGCAATGTCATTATTGTCAACCGGTAGCTCCATTCCTTTCCAGAGTCTGTCTGTGTCGTCCCATGAAAACCAGAGCCACCGAAGTCGCAGTGCACGACTGGACTTTTCAAGTTCGATGATGCCTAGGCCACCGTTGACTGTTGGCGTGCATACTTTGATCCATGCAACCTTGCATTTCCCTCCAGTAAGCTCCTTGTCGCCAGCCCACAAGAATCTTCTACGCAGTTTGTCAAGTTCTTTCAAGAAGTTTTTGGGTGCCTTCACCATCGTCAGCAAGTATACCGGGAGGGAGCTAAGCACAGAGCGCACCGACTCCCTGCGGCCAGCAACATTCAGCAGGCGCCCTTGTCAGCCAGCCACCCTCCCTTTAGCTCTATCTTGGATGTACTGCAGGTGCACCATTCTTAACCTTCCAAGTGTGAGAGGTAGTCCTAAGTATTGCATAGGAAAGTTTACTCTTGGCCCAGGGAAATCTTGTAGTATCTCATCCATATCTAGGCCCACACATATGATTGGGAACACATTGCTCTTCTGCATATTTATCTACAATCCCGTGGCTGCACCAAAAGCATTCATAATCTCCATGATGCAGGTAATGTCTTGTCGTCTTGGGTTGCTGAAGATTACAGCGTCATCAGCATACATTGATATTCGGAGGCTTACATGTCTACCTTTTAGTTTTGATAGGAAGCCTTGCTGCGTGGCGATGTCGAAGATGTTATTAAGTACATCGATTGCCAGTATGAATAGGTAGGGTGACAATGGATCACCCTGCCTGAGGCCTCTCCGGTGCATGATGCTATCACCTAGACAACCATTGAGTAGTATTGCCGAGGACGATGTTCTAAGGATCACTGCTAGCTAGTCAAGCCATCTTGTCGAAAATCCTCTTCTGGCAAGTAGCTCGATCAGGTATTCCCAAGATACCGAGTCGAATGCTTTGGTTATGTCGAGTTTGATGAGGTAGGCTGGTGTTTTTGTGCGGTGGTAGTGACGCGCGAGCCCCCTAACATACAAAAAGTTTTCCTGGATGCATCTCCTTCTAATGAATGCACTCTGAGAGTTGGAGATTAGCTTATCTATATATATTGCCAATCTGTTCGCCAGCACGTTTGTTAGTAACTTTGCAAAGGAGTGGATCAGACTTATCGGTCTGAAATCCTTTGGCTCCGTTGCAATTTCCGTCTTGGGAATCAGCACCACCTGTGCTCGATTTAGATGTTCCAGAGCCCCGTTGTGATGTATGTAGAAAGCGTGGAAAGCGCTGAGGACATCTGGCTTGATGATTTCCCAGCCGTGCTTGTAAAAATCACTGGTGTAAAAATCACTGGTAAAACCGTCCGGTCCAGGCGCCTTTTCACTAGGCAGATCTTTTATTGCTTGCTGAATCTCATTTTCTGTGAAGGGCCTGTCAAGTTCAAGGCCAGGCAGCTGCCCTAGGGTGTTTAGCTGTAGTTGTGGCCATTGGAAGGTCTGCAGCCTACGTACCTTCTTTCCAATTAGATCTTAGAAATAGTCCTGCAAGACTTGTTGTTTGTCATCGTGAGCCCACACCAAGGAGTCGTCTTGTTTTTTGAGTGATGATATGTATTGTCTTCTCTTCCTGGCTGCCATCTTCAGGTGGAAAAATCTTGTACATGCGTCTCCTGCCTTGATAAAGTTTATTCTAGAAGCATGTCTTTTCCTACTCCTTTCAAGCGCCGCTAGGCCCAAAATCCTGATTTTGAGGTCCTGTCGTAGAGAACTCTCTTCTTCTGATAGCCGTCTGCTTTCTTGGGCAACATCCAACTGAAGATGACCTCATTTGCAATGTACAACGGAAGGCGTGCATTACTGAAAAACAGTTTGCTCTAGCTTCGTAGCGCCCGCGCCGTCTCTACTAGCTTCTTGCTCAGTACAGTTTGCGTTGAGCCCGCTTGTGGTTTGCTCCAGGCATTCATGACCACATCTCGGAACCCATTCAGCTTCAGCCAATGGTTTTCAAATTTGAACACCACTTTCCTGACCACTCGATCCTGACGGGTGAGAAATAATGGACAGTGGTCTGAGACTCCCGTTGCCAGAGCATTTGAGGCGAAATTTGGGAAGGCCGCCTCCCATCCAGGGTTGCAAAACACCCTGTCCAAACGCACCAAGGTAGGGTTCTCCCTTTCATTTGACCATGTGTACTTCCTATTCTGCAGTGCAATCTCCATGAGTTCGCATTCATCTAATGCTCTTCAAAACTTTCCCATCAGTCTTCTGTTGAGGTTCAGATTGTTTTTGTCACTGGCTTGATAGATGAGGTTAAAATCTCCTAGGATGATCCATGGCACCCCAGCAGCTGGCTTGATAGCATTTAGTTCAACAAGGAAATCCTCTTTCCTGCCATCATCAGCTGGGCCATAACACGTAGTCATTAGAAACTGGGTATCAGAGGAGGCAACTTTGATCATAGCTGAGATGGTGAAAACTCCGTTCACTGCATTTGTCACTGAGATCATATCCTTGTTCCATGCTAAGAGTATGCCACCTCTAGTCCCCTGGGCCCCCAGCTCAAGGTAGGAGTCCAGATACTGCCCGAAGGTCTCCATGGCAAGGATGTTGTTGAAACTGCTGAGTTTGGTTTCTTGCAAACACACTATCATCGGCCACGAGCAGTTAACAGTCTCTCTGACAAGCTCTCGGTGAGCAGCATCATTTACAAATTAAAGGCCCGCTTGCTCTTGCAGCCGGTTGTTCCCAAATTTGTGTCCATGCATGCCTTGATAGCCAAACTCCTTGGTTCCTTCTTTGTTCTATGTTTCCAGAGTTGTAAGGTTTGCACTACATTTTCTTTGATTGCTGAGCAAGGTGTTGTAACTTTGTCAAATACTCTTCTGTTTCTTGCCAACCAAATATTCTAGGCTATTGCAATTAAAATAGTTGGAACTTCAGTACCAGCTTGTACCAAGTGATTTTGTTCTGTTGTCATTAGAGCTTGAGCCATGTTTGTGTGCTGATTTAGTGAGAATCCTAAGGCTGTCCATACTTGAGTTGAATATGGGCATCTGAAAAAGCATATGTTCAATATTTTCGTCTTCATTACAGCCATAGGGGCATAAGGCATTATCCATCTATGATATTTTTTTGCTAGGATACCTCTTGTCTTCAGTCTTCCCTTTGTTGCTTGCCAAGCGAAGATCTTACATTTTTTGGGAGCTAAAGATGACCAAATATCTTGCGCTCTATTGGGCACAGGACTCCTCCAAAGGTTAGCATGAAGTAAGCTGTTCTGACCGTGAATTCCTTAGTTGGTCCAAATCTCATCTCTCTTGTATCTTCAAGATCCGTTAGCTGAACACTATCCAGTTGATTTAGTAACTGAAATAGTTCATGTTTTGCTCTTCTAGAAGTTAAAGCTCTTGTACGAATTTGACATCCCAAATCTGATTTGCAGTCTTGGACGGTGACATTTTGGTTTAAAACATGTGAAAATAGGTGAGGGTATTGGCAAGCTAAGGGCTTTTTATTAAGCCAACTATCCAACCAAAAGGCAGTGTTGTTCCCTTTTCCCACTGTTATACTATTATCATTGCCCTATAGAGGTCAATCAACTGCATCAGTTGTCTCCAAGCCAAAGTAGTCTTGTTGATTTTATCTCCTATTCTTTTTTTGGTTGGAATAAACTGAATTTCTTATCCAGTTAAGTAGTCAATCAACGAGCAGAACTTTCGATGGTCTGGAAGAATCATTTATCAAATCACAAGTGATGGAATGGAATTAGGCAGCAGCTATTTTGCATGAATTTACCAAGCCTTTTTCTTTTCTACATGCAACCAAGCAGTAGGCAAACCAGTTTAAGTATTTGGTGTGATCTGGAGCTGCTTTCATTCAAGTATGTCTCTCCTTACCCCGCAAAAAAAGTATGTCTCTCCTTTCCTGCTTTGAGCTGGTACAAGAACACAAAGTACACTGAGATGATAATAATCACCAATTAGATATCAAACAAACTACTAACAGTACCCACCTTCACACACATAAATAAGTTCTTTCAGGTGGTCCAATCGATGTTTTTTCTATATGTGTAACTTCTGTAGATCAGGGTAACATTCCACAGTATCGAAGCATTGTTTCTCAACACTGCAGGACTGATGCTTCATTTTCAAACGCAAGCATCAAGAGGCAGCTCAGGCTCGGTGGCGAGGTCCATGGCCCAATGGTGACCTTTCTTTTGAGACGGGCAGTTGGTCAACGGGCAATCCACACTCTCAGTACCGGCAAGAGAACTGCTTTAGGATCGGATTAGGGTTTTAAGCCGGGGGTGGATTGCGGCTCGCCAGTGAACCTCGCTTTGAGCCATCGATCCCCACCTTCTCTATTTGTATGTCTTTGTCAGCACTGCAGGGCCCACCAACCAGTTAGGGTTGGGCTCCCCCGATCAGGGAGCAGAGCCAAGGGCCCAATAGGCCGTTGGGCCCAATAGACCTGACTATCTTAATCTTTAATATCTTAAATTTATCCAATACATCTTTTCTTTCTTTGATTGGATAAATATAGCCATAATGGGAGTAATCATCTGTGAATGTTATGAACGAATCATAACCATCCACACTCTTTACAGGAAAGCTGATCTCAGATGTCTGTGTGAATAATCTATAAAATTCCTGCGCTTCTTTTGTCATCTTTCTTAATCTTCTTTACATACTTTTTCTTTTATGCATTCTCTGCATTGTTCTAAATCTGAGAGCTCTAATGGAGGAAGAATATCATTCTTAGCTTGTCTTTCTATTCTCCCCCTCGAAATATGGCCTAAACGACAGGGCCATAATTTCGACAACGCATCGTGAGCTCTCTTATGCCACCATTTCCAGAGTAACACTCCGTCACTAGCTGCGTTATCAGCTAGGTAGTATATGTCTTTGAAGTACCAGTGAACTGACTCTTTATTCTATCGAGGTACTCGGTGACCGTGTCACACTCTGAGATTGAGCCCACAATTGCAAGCTCAATCATGTTCTTTATCATAGCTAAACTTTTTCTTGTTGGTAGTGTTCATTTCCTATGCCCAAGGAGTCATAGGATATCTTTTGTGATTCAAAATCTCTCTCTTTAGTTGCCCAAGTGGCACACTACCCAGTCCACCTCAAACAAGATGAAAACCAGGTCAAAATTTTTCTTAACATAAAAATAACATCATTTGCATGCCTTGATTCCAACGTTGGTCAAAATCAAAACATACAATTATTCTTATACACTAATTCTACTTCACCATTGGGCAGAAATAGAATTAATGCATAAATCTTTAACTTTCACAACTGTTCTTACACACTAATTCTACATCACCGTTGGGCAGAAGTAGAATTAATGCATAAATCATTAACTGTTATCAACTTTTCTTATACACTAATTCTACATCACCGTTGAGCAGAAGTAGAATTAATGCATAAATCATTAATTTTTATAACTGTTCTCATGCACTAATTCTACATCACCGTTGGGCAGAAGTAGAATTAATGCATAAATTATTACAATTATGATATTGTTATTAACAACGTTGGTCAGAAAATAACAACATCATAATCATATCAAAACTCTTTTTCTCCAATACCACATTGGTTCAAAATAACTGGAGAATCAATAATTTCTTTAGCAGCGGAAAACCTTTCTTTTTCTCCAATTAAATACCGCATTGGTTCAAAATAACTGGAGAATAAACAACTTTTCTTTAGCTGTGGAAAAATTCTCTTTTCCTTAAAATTTTACCTACAGGAAAAATTATATTTTCTATTTCCTTTAATCCATTAATCAATTTCTAGGAAATAAAGATTTACTGGAAAACTTTTCTTTTCTCCAGTTAAATATCATGTAGGTTTCAAAATCATTGGAGAATATACTTTTTCTTTAGCAGCGGAAAACGTATACTCAATTTCTTGAATTTTACCCACAGGTAAAATACATTTTTCTATTTTTCTTTTGATCCAATTTGCATTTTTCTAATTTTCAGGAAATAAAAATTTACTGAAAAAAGAAAAAAATAAAAACTGATTCATTTCTTTACTATTCCTTGGTCCAAATAAAATCGCCAAACCATCTATTCCATCCACGTCTTGTTTTTGCATTAATGAAGTCGCAATACATCGGGCTGGCAAAGCAAAACCCCGCCTACGGCTGCGCCTTCACTGCCAGCGGTTCCCGATCAAAGCACCGCCGTCGGATCGCATCCGACGGTCACCCGCAGAAGCCATGGTCAAAACCACGCTTTCGGGCGCGACGGATGGAAACCCTAGGTCATTTGCTCGGTCCTCTCTCTCTTCGCAAATGAGAGCACAACCGAGCGAGCGAGAGAGCAAATACCATGGCGAGCTAGGCGGTGGAGCGAGCCTTGGCGCCCGCGTCAAACACTTGATGATGTCCTCCTCGGGCGCGTGCGTGCTCTAACGGGTGAGCACGCCCCCCGCCGTCAGCCTGCCGAAGGGCGCCCTTTTCGAGCCTAGCGAGCAAAACAGTTTGACCTTTCTTCTTCTCCAGCGGCTTGGCGGATGTCAAGAATGCCGCTGCGGCGGCGAATGCTCGACCCCCCCTCCCTTCTTTCCCTGCGGTTTTGATTCTCTTTTTCCTGTTCTTCGATTCGACCGATTGGGGATAGTTAGGGTTAGGGTTTCTTTTCTCTTTTGATTTCTTTTCCTTTTCGGAGTTCATCCGAATCTCTTTCCTTTTCTTTCTCCGATTTGGACTAATCTACCGGAGTTCGAGCCCGCGGCTCCCCTGGCCTCTCTCTTTCTCTTTCTCCTCTTCCTACTCTCATGCGCTGCGGCGGACGAGCGGTGGCCACTTTACGGTGACCGAAGGAGGAAGACGAGATGGCGCCGCCGTGGAGCTCTGGCGCGGCGTGTGCTTTCGCCTTCGATTCTTGAGGAGCACGCCGCCCGTCGTAAGTCATCACGTGGTGTTTCATGTTGTTCATGTGCCAGCTACTACCCGGCGGGCTCTCGTCTCTCTCTCGTCGGCATGGATTTGGTTTGGTCGACGATGCAGGATGGACGACGGCAGGCCAGGCTCTAGGTAGGTAGCCTCATGACCATCCTCTTTCTCCATTTAGGGTTCGAGTTCCGTCCCGATCCGATCTGGATCGGGCATTTTCTTTGTTTTTCAATCTGAAACCCTAGATCTACACCCTATGCTAGGGTTCTTTGTTGAAACCGTGTCCACTTTTCCCGTACCCGATCTAGGGTTAGGGTTACACAGAGTGAACCTAGCTCTGATACCATTGTTAGGATCGATGTTTACCTTTGTGTGTGTAACCGTAGATCCGGGTAACATTCCATTCGCCGTGCGCGGTTGCGCTGTGACCTCGCGGACGCCGGTGTCGAGGCAGCTCCGCTCTCGGTGGCGAGGTCCAAAGGCCCGGTGGTGACTCTAAGGGAGACGGCGAGTCGGTGGGCCATCCCGTCACGAAGGCAAGACGGCTTTTAGGATCGGATTAGGGTTTTCTGTAGGTGGGATTGCGGCTCCAGTGAACCTCGTTTCGAGCTCGATCCCCACGTTCTCTATTTGTATGTGCTGTACGACAGGGGCCCACCAACCAGTTAGAGTTGGGCGTCCCCGATCAGGGAGCAGAGCCAAGGGCCCAATAGACCGTTGGGCCTATTGGTGGAGATCAACTAACACTTTCAGGTGGTCCAACCTCTGTAAGGTTTTTCTATATATGTTCCCTTCTGTACAAATAAACAGCATATATAAGAGCACCCACAGTATCGAAGCATTGTTTCTCAACACTGCAGGACTGATGCTTCATTTTCAAAATCAAGCATCAAGGACTAAACAGGCATCGGTGCCCAATCTTCTAATCCAATAAAATAATATTTCTTTTGAAGATGGCAGTTGGTCAACGGTAAAAACCACACTCTCAGTACCGTTGCTCAGAGAACTGCGCGTAGCGCAGATGGCAGAAGCCGGTTGCTAGCTTGCTGCCCGCCAGCGTTCTTCGAACCATGGGTTCGACGTTGGTGTCTCACAGGGGTTTTTCCCCGGCACTGCCCAGGCTGTGTTTCGGCTTTTCAGCAGTATCACACGTGCTGGATGGCCGTGACGAAGTCTGGATCGATGGCAGCTAGGTAGTGGAGGGAGAGTGCTTTGCGAGCTGATGAAAGGAGTCCAATCGCTTCGGCCTCTCCAGTTTTAGAACAAGCGCCGTAGCATGATCCTGCCAATGGCACTGAAGAGTGGAGTGAAAATAGCGCATATGAGGCTGAAAAGAAAGGGGTCGTATAATTTGCTGCGACTAGTAAGTGCTTGGTTAAAAAACGTGAAAAAGATAAGTTGTATGCAGAACATCAAGGAGCACGAAAAGATGTTGAGCGTGCATTTGGAGTTTTGCAAGCTTAAGTACCCCAGCAACTACGTGGCATATGAGATCACTTGCTGACATCATGTATGCACGTATCATACTGCATAACATGATTGTTGAGGGTGAAAGAGACACGTACAAAGAGGAAACAGTACGCCTAGCGCCGCGACGTCCGGATGGCACGTCGCGTCCGGACGTTGCTCTGACATCTGCGTCGCTCCTACGTCCAGCGCAGGGACCCGCGCCCTGCAGGGAAACCCACGTGGGTTGACCCACGGCTACACCCCAGCAGCAGCGACAGCCACCGGCCACGCTGTGCAACACTCAATATACTTTTACAACATCCAGTTGAAACCTTTGCAATATACGTCTAAAACAGATCAAATATTTGAAACATACAGTTGAAATACCATTGCAACATGTGCAACATCCCGATCTACTTTTAAAACATCCAGATGCAACACTTGCAACATACAAAAGAAGACAGATAAAACACTTGAGACATGCGTCTGAAACACTTGCAATATGCGTGTACAAAAAGCAGATGAAACAATGGAGATAGACGCTTGCAACATACGTGTACAACCATTGCAACATATGCAACATCCCAATCTACTTTTGAAATATCTGCCTGAAACAATTGAAACATACATCTTAAACAACTGAAATACTTGAAACATGTGCTTGCAACATGTCTGAAAAGCTTCCAGAAACACTTGAAACACAGCATCGCCGCGCGTCCATGACCTACCTGGTGCGCAACTGCGGTGGTGCAGGCTCGCTGGATGGTGCGCGCCCGCACACCCGCCATGCTCACCGTCGGCCGAGGAAGACGCTGCCGGATCTAGAGAGGGCACCGCCGGCTAGGGTACGGGAGGGTCAGCGGCTTGCTTGGATCTCACCGAGGTGGGGGGAGGGCCACCGGATCTACTGACGTTGGGTGCTCCCGATGGGTGAGGACGCCGAGGTGGGGGAGGGGCGCCGCCGGGGTGGGGAGAGCGCGCCGCCGCCGGCCAGGGAGGCAGCCATGGCCACGCGTCGGGGTAGGCACGGTGCTCGAGCGAGGAAGGGAGGAGGAAGCGAGGAACTGGGTGCAGGAGTGAGCGAGTGAGGCATCCATCTCTTCCGGACGTCTTAATTACCGAGAAGGAAAGTAAGTTGTTGGGTGAGGTGGGTCCCATTTTTTTTACGGGCCATCACCTGGGTACATTGCAATTTAGAAGAGAGGTGAAGCATTGAGGTTTGCACAGAGATGTGAAAAGACATTTGAAGCCTCGGCACACCGCGGGTGCTCTAATCATCAGTGCACGGGTGCTAACATCATATAGCTGTTTGTTGCTCTGGTAGTCTGGTCTCTATTGCAATGCTTTTGGAAACGTACGTATTGTCAGAAGCAGTGGCGCAGAAAGTTCAAATATGTGTATATGCTTCGTGCCACAAGTTATTAAGAACATCTCTTATTAGCATATTATTAGTACACCCTGTTTTCCAGCAGATTGCTACACAATATTCGGCAAAACGGATCCGTAAAGTCGGCAAAAACACAATATTTGTTAGTGCAACTGAATTGATGATATTATCTCTATCCTACTGTACGCTATCAGCCTTGAAGTTGACTCGTTGACCGTGCATGCGGGAGAACGTTGAACGTGTGGCAGCGGCGATCCGAGGTGGATTCGGGTGGGGCCATGGCGTCAGAGAGCGTTAGGCTTCCTTCCACTCGCTGTCGCTGGTTTTGTTATCCACAAAAGTAGAAAGAGCGGTGGGGAGGCCGGGAGGGTGCCGCAGCCGCACAGGCACAGCTCCTGCGGGATGGCGCAGTGGAGCAGCGTGGCCGCGAGCCTGGACCGGTGGATTGGGCTTGGGGCATGCCGCTGCAGCTCGCCGCTGCCACCGTTCCGGGCGGCGCTGCCGCGGCGCAGGCGTGCGGAGAGGAACGTCAGGATCGGCTGCGCCTCCGTCCCACGGGAGCTCGGCACGGCCGCGGAGGCGGAGCTGCCGCCGGTGGTCGTCGAGGGCACCGAGGTTAGTGATCGATCTCAGCACCGTTCTTTCTAGATGCTGCTGGCGCTGCTGCACGGGCATACGTAAAAGCTGCTGATGCTTCGGTTCTCCATGTGGTCGTCTCGTGAATTGTTCCAAGGAAGAAGCTGTAGCGTGCGAAGGGTGCGACGGCACGGGGTGGATGCTCTGCGACTTCTGCAAGGGGAAGAAGAACAACGTTAAGTCGGAGGGCACCCGGGTGTACCGCCGTTGCCCAACGTGCAAGGCGGTCAGTAACTCAGCTCTCTCGCGGTGGCTCGTGTAATCTTTCTGAAATTTTGATGAACATTCCCCGTCGCATGCATGCAGGCGGGCTTCATCCTGTGCCCAAGATGCAGGGTGTACAAGTGCATCACCTTCCCGGAGAGCAACGAATCATGAGCGTATCATGGTGGCCGCACTGTATGTCTGCAGAAGAAATCTGTGTGAATTATTATTAGTATATTCTGACCATGTTTAAAGAACAATTATTATCTTCTGATCATGTTCATAAGAGAACATCTATGTAACTATCAGTTTTAATTTCACATAGGTAGCGTGCCCGTGCGTTGCTACGGGACAGCTAAACTTTTATACTAAAAACACACGAGTCGCATAATAAGATAATAATACTGTGAAAATAAATACCGATATTAAAGTGATATTTAAGCTAAACAACCAAACTATGGTGGTATTTCGTCACATGACAGTGAATTTTATGGACCGAAAAAAGGAGTCCTCACTGAATCCTTCTGCAGCCATCAAACTGCCGTGGCAAACAAGAGTAGTGCTAAGTGAGTACAAAAATTCACAAAAGCTGAAGAGCATTCAGGATCCTCGACCCCCGCAATCTGCTCTCTCACCGCCTCTTCCAATTGAATAGGATCCGGAAGAAACGAAGGAACAATATTAGTCGGTACAAGCAAATAGCAATATATTGAGATAAGTGATAAATTAGAACACAAGTGATAAATTAGAAGACTGAGTGCTTAGATTAACTACTGGGCATCTACCAAGAGGAGGCACAGGAAGGTGTTTTTTGGTTGAACAAAATGAAAGCAATATCAACCTGCAAGAATAGAAAGGACAAGACGTCTAGGACCCTTGCACTGCCTCCCGTGCAGCTGCTCCAGCGGCAAGACCTTCACAACAACGTACAACAATGTACTCCAACCGAGAACCGAGCGTAGCTCGGGTGGCAAGGGACCTTGCCGGCCAGGGATCGAGGCCCAGTGGCTGCGATTTTCTGGTGTCTCACCAGGGTTCGCCCCCAAATAACTCTGTTGCCTCTTGCGCGTGGAACCATAAATGGAATGCGATGCACCTCGTCATCTACGGATCCATGGATGGATCCGGTGATCTCACAAAGGATGTGATCTTGTAATCTAGGTGTAGTTGTAGGATCTGTTTGTGTACTTGTGGTGTGTGTGGTGTTGGTGTGTTGTGTCTGTTCATGAACATATACTACAGTTGTACCTAGATGAGAGACGCAAAAAAAAAATGTACTCCAACCTTCTGGTACCAATCCTCTTGCTGCTGCACCACCACTGCTGCTATCCTGGACGAACAGGTCGCTGATCAGCTACAAATACTTAAGGAATCAAGTGTTCCGATATTATAAAAAAATCATATCAATAATCTCACATGCAAATAAAAAAATGAGTGCATAAGTAATTATATGGTAGCATCATCTGACCGTGTGTTCGCAGTACCCAATCATGTTGTAAACTAACTTGCTACGATGGCATTTAATCAAGCAAGAAATATGTAACAATGCAAAAGAGGTGTTGGTGTCCAATAATTGAGCTATGATTGGGTAAATGGATACAATGTTCACTCAACGGAACACCATGTAAATATTTGTGAATGTCAATAATATCAGTAATATATAGAGAAGACATTTTGAAATACTTGCATTTGCCTGTATAAATCTTGCCTATTGGCTCATGCCCCCATGGACCAAAATAATTATTACCTGATCAATATCAAGGATCAAACTAAACCTTTAGTTGCTCCATGTGACATGCTATCTCTAGATTAAGCCTCCCATATTCTGCTGCTGACAACTGAGCTAACAATTCCTGCCTCTGCTTTTCTGACTGAAAGATACACAAAAAAACCAAATGTGCTGAATAAAGACTTAGGAACCGACAAATATGAGTTATCAAAAAGAACTATAGCATGCCAATTGCATAACGATCAGAGAGTAGTACACTTTGTACTGAACAAACTAATCCTACAAAGTAGCAGAATAATAGTACAATGTTACAAGCACTAACTAATAAGGTTATGTGCTCCTATGTACTACTGAAAATCAGGATAGCATCATCATCATCGCTGAAAAAGGTAGCACGAGCTCAAGCTGCTTTTTATCTATGCTTCTTTCTAGCATTGTAAACATTTATCTACGCTAACTCATTTGCCCTTTACGTTAATTTAAATGCTGATATTATTTCTGACTGATCGTAGTGAGAATCTGAGAGCAATATGTCATAGCCCACTGATCGAAGTGTTGTACCAGGGGTTCCAGTGCAAGGGACACCTGAGAAAATAACACTACGAGCATGTAAGGTTAAATCACATGCAAATGAAACATCAGGGCTACATCAGGCAAGGCATTCTACTGCTTACCGTTTTACTTGTTAAGCAAAGTCTAATGATCTCTGCATTGCCAATCATAGAAAATAAAATCTGTCAAAACAATGTCAAACTATTGGCTTATATATATCTATTGTGTTGGACTGTGTTATTCCAAGTTGGTGGGCTCCAGTGGAAGGGTCACCTTGAGAAACTATGTGTTTTAGCCTCTATACACGTGCTTGAATATGGTTATGTAAAATAATAGTGTGAAACCATCCTAATGCAGCTGCTCGCTATTTCATTTGACAGCAACAATTGACGACAAAATCATGCAAATATTTCAGGCTATTTGAGAATGTGCAAAATCATACAAATATTTTATATGTTCTTACTGCAGAAAATATTTTATTTTCATATGTTCAGGCTGACATGACCTGTGACAAAACCATACTAATATCCTACTCAGTTTTGCAAGGAACCCCACACTGGAAGTAAACTGTCAGAAGCAAAAGGAGTGCACAAGACTGGTTGAAGTTGTTTTCTCCCCGAACTAAGGATATTCTCCCGGCCTTGACATTGGACAATGAATACGTCAACCACATACTGTAATTAGCATATTACTGTTGTCAAGGGCGTCGAACCCTTGGCGGGCCGGACCGCGACTACGTAGCTCGTAGCCGCTGGCCGTCTTCTCCGGTGAGGTTATACCCCTCTACCGTAGGCTTTGGTTGAGATAGAGAGAAGGTTAGGGATAACAATCTTGCTTGCTTCTCAATTGTCACGGTTACAAGAATATAAGGGCATAGCCCAAACTAACGGGAGTAACAAACTCCAGAAATCAAGGAACTAATAATAGAAAAGGAAACTAATAATATCTTTCCTCCTTAGCCACTCGACCTGCCCGAGACAACCGTGCTTGCGCTCCCTGCATCCACAGTCGCCGCGCTCCCCACGTCACCGCGCGCAACGCGTTCCGCCGCGCGTTCCGTTGCTCGGCGTAGGTCTCTGGCCCGGCGCCTCCTGGTGTAGACCTTTCCCCACATGACATCTCCCCCTCCGTCGAGACGCAGCTCGTCCTCGAGCTGGAATGCTGGATGCTTGGCGTGGAATGTGTCAACGTCCTCCCAAGTGGACGACGCAGCGGACTCACCTTTCCACTGAACCAAGACTTGGCGCACACCACGGGCAAGACGGTAGCGCACCGCCCGTTCAGGCTCCGGAGCAATCGCACCATGGTGAATCGGCGGAAGAGGTGGAGGTGCGGCCGGCGGGGTCCCTTGGAACTTCTTGAGGAGGCCTACGTGAAACACGTCGTGCAGGCGTGCTCCGGGCGGCAAGTTGAGACGGACGGCGACGTCGTTGATCAGCTCTGTGACGCGGTACGGCCCGAAGTAGCGGGGCTTGAGCTTGCCCGTCGATGCCTGAGGAAGTGAGGCAGCGGCACGCTGACGCAGGTGAAGGAGGGCCCAATCGCCCACTTGATAGGCCACCTGGCGATGTCCCGCGTCGTAATGGTGTTTCTGGACCTGCTGTGCCTGTTCCAGCCGAGAGCGAATGTCGGCGAGAAACTCCTCGCGCTCCGCCATGCTCCGGGCAACAGCAGCGACCCTCGTGTCTCCAGGCTCGTATGAGCGGATCGACGGCGGGTCGCGACCGTAGACGACACGGAATGGCGTGTCGCGCAGGGACGTCTGGTAGGCGGTATTGAAGACGAATTCTGCCCACGGAAGCCAACGCAGCCATTGTCGCGGCCTGTCACCTGTAAGACACCGAAGATACATAATGATGACCCGGTTAGCCGCCTCGGACTGGCCATCCGACTGAGGATGGAACGCCGTGGTCATGTGGAGCTTGGTTCCCATCAGGCGCATGAGCTCGTGCCAGAACTTGGACGTGAAGACCGGATCGCGATCCGACACCATGGACTACGGAACGCCATGCAGGCGAACAATGTCGGCGAAGAATGCGTCTGCGATGGACTCGGCCGAGTACGGGTGCGCCAGGGGTATGAAATGGTAGTACTTGCTGAAACGGTCCACCACCGTCAAGATGACGGACTTGCCGCGCACCTTGGGCAGCGCTTCCACGAAGTCCAGCGCTATGTCTGTCCAGACGCTGTGCGGAACAGGCAGGGGCATGAGCAGACCCGCCGGGTTCAAGTGTTCAGACTTGTAGCGCTGGCAGACGATGCATACTTTGACAAAATCCTGCACCAATTGTTTCATGTTAGGGAAGTGGAAGTCGCGTCGGAGTCGGTGAAGCGTCCTCTGAACGCCCTCGTGGCCGTCCTCGTGCACCGCCAGCACGATTTCCTGGACCAGGGCGGAAGTGGGCGGGATGTAGAGCCGGTCCTTGTACTGGACCATGTCGTCCACTAGGGACCAGGGCGCGCCGCGTGCGCCGCTGGTGATCTCCTGGCGCAGCGCCAGAAGCGCCGGGTCCGAGCCTTGTTCCCGCCGGAGGCGCGTGACGAAGTCGAAGCGTGGAGCCGAGAGCGCGAGAATGGCGCCGTTCTCGCCGTCCTCCGTGTCACGGTGCGAAAGCGCGTCGGCGACCGCGTTTGCCGTGCCCGGTTTGTACTCGACGGCGAAATCGAAACCGAGTAGCTTCCCCACCCAATGGTGCTGGGGAATCGTCGAGAGCCTCTGGTCCAGCAAATACTTGAGGCTATAGTGATCTGTCTTCACCAGAAAGCGGCGGCCCCACAGGTACGACCTCCAGTGCCGCACGGCATGAACAAGGCCGATGAGCTCACGCTCGTAGGCGGCGAGAGCGCGATGGTGAGGGGCGACCGGCTTGCTGAAGAACGCGATCGGGTGACC